TCCAAGGACCACACCTGGAGCAGTGAGGCCTTGGTGGTGGGAAGGTTCCTTACCTCACAGCCAACTTAGAAGGAAGTAGGGAAAAAAAGACCTTGCGAAGGCAACATCGCAAGCCTTGATGCTGTGTACATTTCTTATCTGCCTTTTCAAGGCACCCCCAGTGACAGAAATACCCTGGAATGTGAAGAAAGAGCAAGCAAGAAAGGACAAATTGGTGGTCATCCACACAATTAACTGAATTGATGAACCTCGGATCCCGGTCGAGCTGGAGAAATTGGGGTGTAACGTCAGGACTCAGCCCACGTCTGTCATTTATGACTTTGTCTTATTATCTTTGTAACAAGGCTCTTTTATTAGCTCACAGCTTGCTGCCAAGGTGATGAAATCGCCGTTATGTTTTATGGTACACGGTAAGAGGAGAGAGGGGATCTTAAAAGACCTACAGATCTCTTCTTCGTTGAGGGACCTCACCTCCTCTCTCTCCTCCCCGCGTGGGATGGAGATGAACTTACCATCACGTTCCAAGACACTGTTCATTTCCTCTTCAGCTGAAAAATATATATTTATTTGGCTGTTTTGCTTTATGATCGTGGAGGCCGGCATTTTCCATTCCAGTGCTCTCTGTTCTGAACCACACTTGTAATTACTGCTGTCTTTTATTCTGTGCCTTCGGAGGACTGTCCCGTTCAAACTGCGATAGGACAAAAGCTGCTGTCTTTCCAGGGGGTGGAAACAATAGCATCGAGTCTTCACGTAAACCTCAACAAACACGGAAACACAGAAGTGAAAATAGGAATAACAACGCATCCAGTGGAGAAATGGAAATCAAACTAAATATTTCCACCTGTCTTTTTCAGAATTTGGAGAAAGAATAAACTCGGCACGCCTGCTGCATCCTAAGGGTGAGTCTTATTTCTAAGGTGATTTTTCTAAAAAAGCAAAAGTTCTCAACTGGCGTGTTGTTGTTACCTGTTCCTCAAGTCTCTGTCTGTTACCGACATTGGCCAGCTGGTCAGGGTCACAGAGGGCACGGTGCCGGTCCACAGCTCTTGGATGGCCTGGAGGCCCTGAGTGGCCCGCCTTCTGCTTTTTCCTCAATCGTCTCCACCCTGCGTGATCCTCTGACCTCCTTTTGGTTCCTGAGTGAGTCAAGCTCCACCCAATATCAGGGCCTCTGACGGGCTCTCCCTCCACCTGGCACGTGCTCCCCTCAGTTCATTGAAGTCATTCTTCATTTCTTCATCACCCTCCTGGTCACCCTTCAGATTCGTGCAGGTCCCACTGTCACATGGTCTTGAGCACCCAGTACCTCTCATAACTATAACCAATTATCTGTGTGGTAATGTCTGTCTCCCCACAAGAGAGCCAGCGTCGTGAGGACAGCGACAGTATTTACTGTGACCTTAACTGTGTCCAGTACAATTTGCTAGATGGCAGCAATGTTTTGAGTGACCAATTCTCCAAGTTACCAATGAACCAAAAGCTTCTCTAGACGCGATTTGAAAAGTTTAGAGCGATTCACGTTTCAGCAAGGTTATCAAAAATTGTCATTACCTGAGCAATGTCTCACATCCTTACCGACTCAGCGTGTCAGCAGAGTCAAGCGTTTTTATAAATGTTACTGTTTCTACCTTTCAACTGCACAAACTTCCAGGTTGGTCAAGTTCTCCTTCTTGTCTTTCAATTCGTCTTACTTGTCTTGATCCAGGAATTGTTTTCTTGAGTGGAAGGGAGAGAGATGCAGTTGATGTTCCAGATAGTTTGCAACATAGGGTAAAACAAGCAAACAAAAAATGTGCTTCACGTGACAGGTGCCTGAGTACTTTTCAAGATGATGTGCAAATGGGTTGTGCATCCATTGTAATTTCCATGAGTTCCGTACGAATCATGAACCATAAGAAAAACGTACAATTGAGTCACCTCAATTCTGTTGCTATTTGCAGAAAGAATCCAGATAGTTTACCTCATAGGGTGAAAAGAAAATGTGTTTTATCATTCAGATGCCTGAGAATTTCTCAGATGCTCAACATTTTACATACAGATGGCTCGGCTTTTCCCATATGCAAGTTAAGTCGTCCGGGATTTGTGGACGTGAAGGTGGAGGTAAAACTTTTGGCGGCACGATGAACTGCAGCGTGCCCGTGTGTGCAGGTCTGAGAGTTGTGTGGGCAGCACACCTGGGCACGTGGCCGATGCGTGTGTGAAAACACACCCGTGGTTCCTCCACTTTCCCACCAAAGACAGCAACTTGCTAATTGAAACGAGGAATGGCACTGTGCACTGAAAACACGTGGAAGAGATAGGCACAGCTGCTTTTCATAAGGTCCCTAATACTTCGGATGTAAAAGATCTAAAAGTCAAAGTACACAACAGCTGTCATTTCGAAAAATACATTGGGTGGAACAATTAGATACAAATGTTGTAGATAACTCACTGAAAATAATTTTTGGTTAATCAATAATTGGGGGTCCTAGTCATCTGATGTATTGGCAAATCCATGATTTACTACTTATGAAAAGTTGATTTTGGTGATTGTCTTACCACTGTTTGAAAACAGTGCTGGCACACAGTGGGTCTTCCCGTCAGTATTTGTTGAATGAACGTGCCCATGTCTCAGCACTGCCTTCACAGCTACCTTTAACAGGCGGTGTTGCGTCACTGCATTCTGAGCAGGGCCCAGCTCGTGCAAAGACCCAAAGCAGGATGGAGCTCCACCCTCCGGTGTTCTCGGCCCCAGTGATCTTAGTGCCCTGAGTGCTACAGGACTTGTTTTCAGAATGGGTCTCCAAGTTCAGCTCAGTAATTCAAACCTCCAAAAAGAATAACATCAACAATGAAGAACCCCACCCCGATCTGCAGCTAGGAAACCCTAGCTGAAGAAAACTTGAATTTCATTTTTCCTGGCCAGGTTTTCTTTATTTGCTTTTGATTTTCTTGGACAAATCTTTTAGAATTTTAAACAATCGTTCAACAGGGGAAAATTGGAATACACCTTAACCAGTGATTGTATACCTTGTTTAATAGAACATAAGACTAAATACAGAGGAGATGAAGAATATATTTAGAAACGGGATTTTAGATCTAAAGGATTTTCTGCTCCATCGGTGGAGACAAAGGGAATGTCTGTGAAATACTATGGTTTGGAAGTGGCACCGTTGCTAGGTCTTTAGTCTCAGTCTTCAGCTCCCTCCCTCCTTATTGCTTTACTCTCAGTCTCTTGATGTGGGAGAAGCAGCATTCTGCACTCATCCTTCCCCTCCATTTGTGCAGAGCTCCCTGGCCTGACATCTGCAGGGGAGGGAGGGCCACCCCACCGGAGAGCACATGATGGCAGTCATTTGACCCCTGGCCTGCCAGAGCTCACAGTGAGGAGGGATCATGGCTAAGAGGCCCAGTTTCACGCAGATTAAAGAAAGGGAGTTAAAAGCAATCCTAGAAAATTCACTGCCCAGTAATTTAATGTGGTCAGGGAAGTGCAGTGAAACGAATCCTGTTTGATGCTGGCATTGAAATCGGCCTCAGTACATCTGGGTTCTAGTTTGGACTTTGCTACAAATTAGCTGTGTGACTATGGGTGCGTCCCTCCACCTCTCTGAGACTCCCTTTCCTCATCTGTAAGTGGAGATGGTTACTAACACCTGCTCAGTTTCAGTCTGTGTTCCACCTCAGGCATCTCATCCAGGAACACAGCTCTCTGGGCCGTCGGTGCTGGCCAGAGGAGAGGTCCCATATCACTAACACGGCAACTCTTGTTAGGACACCCTCGTCGATGATTAGGGGAAGAGGGTCTTGAGGACACAATTTCTTAGCAAAAAACAGAGAGTTGGACAGATTCTCCCATTGATGTTTACTCTTATTTTCACATGGAGTAGCCAAGAGAATTGTCAAGACACAGAATTTAAAAAAGGAAGGAAGGGGCTTCCCTGGTGGCGCAGTGGTTGAGAGTCCGCCTGCCGATGCAGGGGACACGGGTTCGTACCCCGGCCCGGGAAGATCCCACATGCCGCGGAGCGGCTGGGCCTGTGAGCCATGGCCACTGAGCCTGCGCGTCCGGAGCCTGTGCTCCGCAACGGGAGAGGCCAC